TAGCAACCAAAGTATCAGCTCTCCCTCTGTCTCTTTCCACCATTTTCCATCTTCATTTCTACTTCCCACAGCTCATATTCATTCACCTAGACCAAAAAAACTTTAGTCTAATTTGACTTTGCAATGTGCTAGAAGACGTTGTGAGCATGCGGAGTTTTCGGACCACTCAAATGCAATCTTACCCGAAAACGTTGACCATTTTGAGCTTCCTTTTAATTAATTTTTGTGTTTGATTTGCAACAAGAATGGCCCAAAATCATTGACCAAAGACTTCATCTTTAAGCTAAATTCATTATGTATTCGAAGCTAATGCCTATGGTGCGAATGCAATGAAGTACAAGAAAATCCGAAACATTGGCAACGAAGAATTAGTATTACTACTGCTACTTTGTTTCTTTTTATTATTTTCATTGACTATATAAGCATAAAAGGGGAAAAATTGCATCAGTTTGATGGCAGCATTTGTTTTGTTGCATTTTAAGCATTGAAGAGGGTAGCAATGATGACGCTATCATTCTTCCTTCCATCTGAGAAGCTTTCATGTTTGAATTTAACCATTCCCAAGAACTGTAAAAACCCTCTCCCCCATAAAAGCCCACAATAATTAGATAATGAAAGAATTTTACTTCAACTAACCCACCGTTGGTGTTTTTTTTCTGTTTTTTAGTACTGATGGGATGGGACCATCCATGTAATTTTGTACTTTTTGACATTCATAAATACACCAAAAAAACAAACAGCAAAATCTGATATTGGATGCTGCATTAATGTCTCTTGAACCTGTTTCAAGTTAATTGTCAATTAGTAAGTACTGCAGTAGCTACTGATTGCGTAGCAAGCTGAAAATCTTTTTGTTTTGGATTCAGTTTGATTGCATGCATGGGAGTGTGATTTTGTGATGATGGTGGGGTTTGGGATTGGGTTTCTGAATTCTGAGTCCCTGACTGAGATAGCATGGGCTAGTAATTTGGGTACAGGGTGTTAGTTGCCTCGGGCTGCAAGGATTTCCATATGTTGTTGCATTTGTAATTTTTGTATTGCTACCAAGCCAAGCTTGAAATACCACTGTCTACTAGGAACAGTAGCATTTAACGGTTACAGAGCTTACCATGGATGTGGATTTCTGGCATGTTGCAAATGATGTATCCACATCCTGGGATTAATGATTAATAATCAATAATCAAAAGACACCTAACATTAATTGGCGCCTGGTAGGAGTTGTGTGTTTTGCAGTCATGGATGATCAGCCACGTATGCAGAATAAAGCCAAGTCAGAGGTGGATTTCTGGGGGATCTTCTCTCAGCCTCTGGCTTGCCACCAAACCCACCCACCTCCCCATTTTTGCCAAAAGAAGGGATGGTGACCTAATGCTGGCAAAACGTTGCCGCAACTCGTTTACTCTCTTCCTAGCAGTCACCTACATCCCCTCTCTACCCTTTTCGAGGTTCTTTGTGTCATCAAAATGATAAGACGGTGGTGAACAGAGAGAGAAGAATCATGCTAGCTCATGGATATTGAGTTTGCTGTAGAGAGAGTACTGTTGAGTTCCGGATTAAAACCAGGATTATAATTTCCTATAAATCATTAGCTAGTTGTTCCATATTTAATCCTATTCGGGTTAGAATGTAATGCTTTAAGAGTTGAGAATGAGTATTATAAGAGATCGAACATTTATTTGATATCTCTACTATTTGTGTTACTGTGTAAGAATCTGAGTGAAGGAGGTAGAAAAAGGTGAAAAGCAGCAAGCATGCTTTAGCTCCTCAAAAGTCACGGTCACTCCATTCCATATTTGCTGCTCCGTTTAATTTATAGATAAATTAACCAAGAAAAGGCCACGTATGCAAAGCCGAGCTGACAAATAAGCGGAAGCGAAGCAAAGTAAAGTAAAGCAAAGCAGAGTGAGACGCTCTTTCTCTTTCTTTCTCTGGCTGGAACCTTCACCGCCTGCTGTGCCCACCTCCGTCCTCTTTCTTCTTCTTCTTTTTAGAGAGAGAGGGAGAGAGTGAGAGAGAAGGAAAGAAGAAAAGGGTTTGCGTTTTGTGATTTGTTTAGTGAGAGAAACGGGTGGAAAAGTTAGAAACGATAAATAAAAATCAGATCTTTCGGAAACCATTTTGTTGTTGTTTTTTTTTTATTTCCCAGAAAATCCTCCACATTTTCCTGGAAAGTTTCTGCTTTTCGTTTTCGCTGTTGTTTTTATGGTGTTCTTTTCTTCTCTATCTCGTTTCTCGAGGGATTTGGTGCGGTTCGGTTGATTCCACGTTCGGTCTCTGGAGTCAGTGGGTGCGTTCCCCTTTTCTTCTCGAATTGAAACTATTGATATAGGAAAAAAGAAAAACAGATGAGGGGGAGATCCGTACGATTGGTGTAGTAATAATTAGCAAGCATTGTAAGAGATTGAATGCGTTGCAGCTTCATCTTAGAAGCGCTTTACTCACTGTTTTTCCACTGTTTCCAAGCACCGACTCCTCTCTCAGTTTAAAGCTCACTCTTTTGTTCATTTCCTTATCTGTTTTGCTCTGCTTTCAGTGAAATTTGATATATTTTTTTAGTAGTTCAACAGATATGAAGAGAATTACTAGTCCAGAATATAGGCCTTGTTGGATAACTAAGAGAAAAGCTTATTCATTTTGTTCCAGATCTGATCATTCTCTTTATCATTTTTGTCCTGTTTCCACTCTAGCTATATTTTAGGTTTGCTCTTTCATATATTTTGCTGCTTTAGTTACTGCTTCTTAATGCCAAATGATGAGTTTCTGCTTCTGTTCTCTAATTGTTTGCCACAATGTGCGGAACAGAACATGATGGTTTTATTTCTTTTCCATTGAACACTACTAGCTTCAAAGATCAAAGCTTTTCCTTTTGCCAATTGCTGAGATGTCAGGTATATTAATACTATATGTTTGCTACTTCATGAAATGCTTGTCTTCTTTTTGACTTGTTAGTGTCAGCCCTGTTTAATTTTACTTTGGTTTTTTCAATATTGCCTAGGGGTGGAAGAAATTGGGGTGAATGATGAAAGCAGAGACAGAAGGTCTGATTTTGACAACTCTGAGGATGAGAGGAGAAGATCCAAGATTGGGACCCTGAAAAAGAAGGCCATAAATGCGTCCAACAAGTTTACTCATTCCCTTAAGAAAAGAGGGAAGAGGAAAATCGATTACAGGGTCCCTTCTGTATCCATTGAGGATGTCAGAGATGCAAAAGAGGAGAGTGCTGTTCATGAATTGCGTCAGAAACTTCTTCATAAGGATTTGTTGCCTCCCAGGCATGACGATTATCATATTTTGTTGAGGTCAGTTGGTGGTTTCAAACACCTGGTTGTAACCCTTTATTATGTTAAGTCAGCAAATTTGGCCGCTTGATTTGTTAAAGGTTTCACATTATACCTGGCCAACTTAAGTGTGCTGAGAAGTACTACTTTTAACTTGTAGATTCTTGAAAGCTAGAGAGTTTAACATTGAAAAAACAATCCAGATGTGGGAAGACATGCTTAATTGGAGGAAAGAGTTTGGAACGGACACCATTTTGGGGGTGAGAAATGTAAACTTTGTTCTATCTATTTCATTGCATGTTCTCTAAATCTGGAAAAGCGTTGACAAGCCAAACCACAAATCAATGGCTTGCATAATATTTGATGAGGTCAAATAGGTTTCTGGCATCTTAGAATTTGATATTACTCTAATGATTATTACGCACAGTTTATAATAGCTAAGATTATGTTTTCGTGCAGTATCCTTTTATTGTATAAGTTTAACCTTTTTTTGAGTCAATCAATACTTAGGATTTCAACTTTGAAGAGCTGGAAGAAGTATTGCAATATTATCCCCAAGGGTACCATGGAGTTGACAAGGAAGGAAGACCTGTTTACATTGAGCGGCTTGGGAAAGCCCATCCCGGTAGGCTTATGCGTATCACCACCATAGATCGGTATTTGAAGTACCATGTCCAAGAGTTTGAGAGAGCTCTGTTAGAGAAATTCCCTGCTTGTTCAATTGCAGCAAAGCGACAAATCTGTTCAACAACTACTATATTGGATGTGCAAGGACTGGTATTTGACTCTTATCTTTGACAGCCTTTAACAAATTGAAGATTTGACAACATTACAAATAGCATTATGGCAGAACTTTGCCAGCTTTTTTTTTTTTTTAAAAAAGCAACTTTGCCAGCTTCGTAGCTTTTAGAAAACGTTGCATTGCCAATGTACACATGATTTTTCCTTTTTATATAGGTCTAGCACTGGAACTGAATACAAGTGCTGCATTTCACTTTAATTTTTGCTATGCCCCCACTTTACTGATGACTTAAACCATGCCAATAATGGACTGTGCAATAGGGCCAGCCCAACTTACCGTGGAATGTTGAAATATTTTCTTCCTCTAGTGGTGGCTGTTTTGAGTCATTTACAGCAATCTAATGGTAGAATAATAATTGGTAATTAAATGTTGTTTTGAATGTAGGGCATGAAGAATTTTAGCAGGACTGCTGCAAATCTTTTGGCTGCCATGACTAAAATAGACAACAGCTATTACCCTGAGGTATACAATACAATCCAATCATATTTTTACTTTCTGTTGCTAATTGGTATTTAATTCTTTTTTGTATGGGTTTACAGACATTGCACAGAATGTACATAGTCAATGCTGGTCCTGGATTCAAAAAGATGCTTTGGCCTGCTGCTCAAAAATTTCTTGATGCAAAGACAATCGGAAAGATAAATGTAAAGGATATGGCTTTAGGCATTTTTTTTTTTTATTTCCCTTTTCTTGCCCTCTAGATGACTCAATTTTTCATTTACAAATTGCAGGTTTTGGAGCCCAAATCTCTGGGTAGGCTACAGGAGATCATTGACTCTAGGTCTGTTTATTATCTGTTTATTCTTACCTGCAAGAGAATTCAATCTATGATTACTCCTAAGTCCTTTCTTTTTCTTCACCTCTTTCAGTCAGTTGCCGGACTTCTTAGGAGGGTCATGCACTTGCCCTACAGATGGAGGGTGCCTTAGATCCAATAAGGGTCCATGGAATGATCCAGAGATAATGAAGGTAGCCGTCCCCTCAGTCAAAGTAGTTCTGTTTGTATAATATGCTGCTTCTTCCTCTTAAACATGAAATGTTTGTTAGACATGATTTTAGGTTACTCAACTTTTATCTGGAGATTAACATGTGGTTGTGTCGATAGCTTGTACATAATGTGGAAGCAACATTTGTGAGGCAAATCACCAGAGTATCTAATGACCGGCATAAATATGACTCTTATGTTCAGACGCGGTCATTAAAGGTAAGTGTTAAGTCTATTGATCATTGAGCTCAATAATGTTCTGTGATTATATCTTCTATGCATGTCAATTGACACATAATCTGTTATGACAGGGAAGGGCTAGCAACACATCAGCAGCAGAGTCTGGTTCAGATGTTGACGACCAGTGTTCTCCAATTGGACGAAGAAGCACTGCATTTCCTTGTTTGGCACCAGTTCATGAAGAAGTGAGTTGCAAAAGCAGTATTCTGTTTCATTGTGGTTACTAATGTGTGTTTTTGTGCCTTTTGAATAAAATTGATTGTGATTTATGCAGGTGAGAATATCCGATCCAAATGCTTACTATAGTTGTGATGATAGTTTCCCTCTGGTTGAGAAAACTATAGAAAGTGACCAAGGACCACTATGTTCCCTAGATCAGTTGCGTAATTTCGGTAATATGGATAGCCAATCTCGCAAACAGGCATCTTCTTCGTATTCAGAAGGTATTTAAAATGCTATTTTATTACAGTAATCAGTTGTCTTCTTCCTGGAGGATACTTTAAGTTCTTCATTGTTTATGGTTTATTTGATGGTATATGGACAATGTTTCTTGTTCGCTATCTGGTTTCACAGATAGGATATAGATATTCACCATATAGTTGACGGATGTTTTGTTATAATCCCTACCTTTGGGATTTATTTTCTAAGTTGATGTTAAACTTCAGGAACATCAGTCACCCATTGGTTGGACACTGTCAAGGAAAGGGTTGGGAGAAGGAATATTCATTCTGTGGCAAAAATGTTAATAGCTTTATTGGTCAGACTGGCTGCTTTCATTCGCACTGTTCGATCTGAATCTTGGAGAAAGACAAACAACATTCATCCTTCCAGTGCAATGGAATCCAGCAACACGAATAGCCATTCAAATTCACCAGCACCTGAAGCTGTTAATGAAGAAGACCATGTCCTTCCATGTATAGAGCGTCTTCAGAAGCTAGAGAAAGCATTTGAGGAACTTAGCAACAAGCCTGCTGGAATTCCCGTAGAAAAGGAGAAAATGCTTATGGATTCTCTGGACCGGATCAAATCCGTTGAGTTTGACCTTGAGAAAACAAAGAGAGTATGGCTCATCTTACTTACTTTATAAGGTTTGAGGACTGGACTTCGATTTCAATGATCACAATTTTTTGTTTTGACGGTGGTGTCATTTTACAGGTTCTACATGCTACGGTGATGAAGCAACTTGAGATTGCAGAGTTGCTTAAAAATATACGTGAGTCTAAAAATCGAGTAAGTTCCATTCTCCATAGAATAGTATATTCCACAGTATTGCAATCTTGAACTTGATCCTGTATTCTGGTGTTTAGAAGGCTTGAATTTCTAGGAGGTTGCAAATGTGTTTTGGTACCTTTCCTGTGATAGGGTTGTTTGATGCCTTCACACCAAATGAAAAACAATTCAAGACCCTACTTTGCTTTAAGTTTCTATCAATTGTTTGGATAGGCAAACCACCACCTTGTCTGCTTATGAAAAAGAAAAATGATAGATGTGTATAAAAGATGAGCTCGAGCCATGATTTAGAGTTCCAAAAGCCGATTTATTATCTTGGTGTTCATACATTCTTTTCAAGTCATCGTTTTCTTCCACTAATAGTGATGGTTGTTGGCATACTTGTTGCAGCAACGAAGATTATTCTGTTGAATGTATGGAGATTGACCATGTAGACAGAGTGGAGCTATAGGAGGGTTGATGCCAGACAAAGTACGCCATCGGGGGCCATCTTTGTTCGTGGCACGTGGATGAAACATGGGTTGGACGCTTTCTTTTTTAGCTTCTTCATCTACTTTTAACACCCACCACATGACTGAAGTTACTGTTGAGCTGTACGGATTTTTTCCCCAAAGCACAGCTTTGAAACACTGGTGAGAGTAAAGAGAAAATATCAATGAAATATCTTCTTAAATGCGGCATGCTTTTCTTTTCCTTTTTCTTTCTGTTCAAATGAATATCGCCATGACCTACTTAATGTAAACACTGAGCATTGTGAATGAAATTTTGAATCCCAACTTGGGTGATATACTTCTCATCTTTCCATGGGGAAAGCCACCAACCATCATTCCAAGGGTACATAGTACATACTGTTTCCTCTTGAACCCGAGTTCTCTGCAAGTTCAAGGCACAAATCCCCTTTGTCTTTGTGGGCTACCGGTGATGCGGCCTGCTCACATGGTCCAAGTTCCATCTCAGCATTTCTCCCCATCATTAAACTTAGGTTTCCTGCAAGCGCTATAGGTAGAGGTTAGGCCATCTCGTGGAGCTGAAAGGATCCACCTGGAGCCCTCGAAGCGATCCAAGACATTGATCGGGTAAGACTTGGATCTTTCGTGATTAGCCAACCGTGCAAATGGAAGAACCTATGCAGTCTAAAGATGATGCGAGCATTGATGCTTTCATGATGAGATCGTGCAAGACCAGCACAAAGGCCTTGCCGTGTACGTGCTGCATTTTCTTTCCGCCAAAATGATGATTCTCGAGGACATCCAAGCCTCCCCGGATTGATATCGTTAGGGAGGTCTTGCCACAGCCTAGTCGTGTTTGGTGGGTTAGCGGAGGCTATCTCTTGACCATTGATTTTCTGTCTTGCCTTCTCGTCGCCTTGCTTTTCCATGCTTGTACCCCCAACTCAATGAATTACTACTATTTGGAAGAAAAATTGAACAGTTTCAAATTCAGGACTTGGTGGGGAGGCAGGTTGGCAGAGTTGACAGATATAAAACCAGAAGACGTGGCCTCCAAGACCAAGACAGCTGACTTTGGTTCATGCGTCTAACTGTCTTAAGTCTAACCCAAACCCAAACCCAAAAGAATCATCGAAGTATTGATTTGTTGCTCGTGATGTCATTCACTCATTAATCGTAATGCTAGTCGTATATAATGAATTTGGTAATCCTTTCTAGATGTTGGAATTAAAATAACAAAAATGAAATAAAAGAATGGTGGAATGATATTCCTTCTCGTGTTTGTTTTCTTCCTTTGCATGGCTGGTTCTAGCTGGAAAGCTGACCAAGCATGTAGGTTATTTATAGCAACATCACCTAGTCCATCAAATGGAGTAAATAAGAAGTTTATGGTCTCGCATTTATTGTGCCAAAACTGTTATGAATCCAATCCAACTGTATTGAGTTTAAGGTTGGTGCACAAGAATTATGCCCTCCATGTGATTTTTGGACCCAAGGCATGGCAAATTTATGAGTTGAATGAAGGTAAAATTAAGGAGCTGAACAAACTAATCATAAAAGACATCATCTACTTATCCTGTGGATGAAACTGAAGTCTTAGCATTGGTCCTCACATTTTGAGGGGAGGGGGCAATTCAACTCATTCGATTACTATTCTAAATATTATATAGGTCAGTGCTGAAAATCACAATTAACGACAAACTGCCGTTGTCGATAGTTTCCACACTGAGTTGCTTTTCTTTTTCCAGGTAAGAGAAGAGAAGGTAGATAGTGAGTGAATTACCCTCTTGACCCTTTGTTTTGCAATAGTACCACTAACTTTTACCATAACCCTCTTTGAACCAGATGATCTCATTCTCATCAGCTAGTAGTAGAGTCGGTCAAAAAACAAGACTCTGGTGTTGTGAGGTGAGAGACAGTGTCTTAAAAAAGGGTTGGTAAATCTTAATCTTATGTTGTGGAAGTGTTAGCCTTAGGACAGTAGGAGGGTGAAGCAAATAAGCCAGACCCCACTTCACCCCAGTTTTCGCGTTTTTGGCTGTAATCCATTTTCAATCATAAGCAAAACACGCCCTTTCTCTGTCTTTCTTTATTTTATTCATTCCAACCTCAACCTTCCAAGTTCTGAGCTTTCTGTTGTTTGAATACCAGAACAAAGGAGAAACAGAAGCGAAGCTGATCTGTTTGCTCTCTGTGTTAACCCAACAGCAAAAACCCTCAAAAGAAACAAACCAAAAGAAAGAAAAGAGATGATGGGGAGAGAAAAGTGTGTCTTTTTGTTTGCAGTTTTCTTCCTTACGTTGGGTGCCTCTGCTTCCACATCAATTTCAGGTATTCATCAAAAAGAAAATTTCTGTAAATTCTACAGCTTCTGAATCTATCATTCACCGTCTAATATGTGATGATCTGGATGCAGATGGTGTCTTTGACTCTTTCACTTCTACAGGAAGGAACCTCCTTCAGGCCAAGAAAGGTTTTTTTTTTCTTTTCCTCTATAATACCACCCTTTAAATTTTACTTTTTTTTTTCTGGGATCAATTTTGTTTAGAATTTGCTAAAGCATTTGCTGCCAGATCTAATGGCTTGAAGGGTTTTTTTTTTTCTTGGTGTCAGCCTGTTTGAGATCTTCTCTCTTTAATGCTCGAGTTTGATGGATGAACCACACAAATGATTAAGCTGTAAATCTTAGGATGATGGGATTCTGCTTGTTTAGAATCTTCACCAGGGAGAGAAAGGGATGGAAGGGGACTTTCTCTCTCTTCTTTTCTTTTCTGGAAGCTCTGGCAGAGAAACTATTTTCATGCTTTTTCCATTCTGCTTTTATTTAAAACCATAACCATCACAAAACTTTCATTTGACAATATACCAAAATGATTTGCATGATATCCAAAGCGAGAAAGCTGCAGATCAAGGCCTTGTTCTATCAGACACTGTATTTCTTGGTTCATCTTATATTTTCATAGCATCTTTATCAATGGAGCAAGTTGCATAGCTTATTTTCCCTGCTTGTTTTCTGTTTTCTGCTTATTCATCGGAGAGCACTGTTTAAAAATGTTGATTCCATCTTAAGGTCTCTTGGAACTTATTGATGATAGCTTGAGAGCAAACTTTTTGTTGAGTTCTGTTGTTTAACTATGGAAGGATATTAAACATGATATATACTATTTTGCTGCTTCATCTACAGCTTGCCCGGTTAACTTTGAGTTTCTGAACTACACAATTATCACAAGCCGATGCAAAGGACCTCAGTATCCACCTGATCAATGTTGTTCAGCATTCAAGGACTTTGCTTGCCCGTTTGCAGAACAGATCAATGACTTGACAACCGATTGTGCTTCAACTATGTTCAGCTACATTAATCTTTATGGGAAATATCCTCCAGGCCTTTTTGCTAGCGAGTGTCGTGAAGGGAAAGAAGGGCTTGCATGCCCTGCGTTACCGCCATCAACATCAGTAAATGCCAGTGGTAGTCAGCTAATATCTAATCCATCGCTGCTGCTAATGGCCACAGCTGGCTTCCTAGTGTTTCTATTCATGTTGTTATGAAAGCCTGCAAGTGAATTTCATTTATTATAATCGTTTATTTATATCATTTTTACCCCCACTTTTAACCTTGTGAAGAGTACAGTAGTTCCATACATCGGGTTCTTCAGCCATGCTTTTTCTTTGTACTCGGAAATCTAATTGATGTACATCATTGGAATGCTACTTAGTCCCAATAGTTGTGGGGAAACAGGCTTTCAGTTGTAATTTGCAGCCATCAAATGAGTTTATGCTTTTCCTGTGTGATATGAGATGCAAGCGTTCTCTATGTTGGTATGGATTGGGTGTGCTTTGGCTATGAATAGGATCTCCTTCCCGAGCTTTGAAGCCTCTATCTAATGGATTCATCTTACTTCATGGAGGAATCTGTCCTGAAAAAATCTCAGGCTCTGACACAAAAATCCATCTCCCCTAAAAGAGAGAATTGGATTTGTCATCTCTACACTGTTTGGAAGTAAGGCATCCAAAGTTATCTTCTCGGTAATTAGGTTCCAACGAACAATTACATCTGAACCTATAGGCGGACATGGTTTGTGGCAAAGCAATGATCATGGAATGCATGCTGCCATTACCAATTCTTTTCTTATCAATTGCAATTGCCACTGCCCTTTTTCCATCAATTTGCTAGTAGCTGCAGTCTAACACAGATGCATTGGACATTGGAGGAAATTTTAAAATATTTATTTTATCTAAAAAAGTACTATCATACACAAAGCCCTAAAAGCCCCATGGCTTAACAATAAGCAATTCACATTTCCATGCCACATCCACGTAATTTTTTTTCAATTCAAGGACTTGATTGCAAATTTTGCGAAAGAAAGACTTTAATTGCGTCAAAGGATAAAAATAGAAGGATGCAATTGCATGGTCACATAGGGTTCACGGGCCAACAAAAAATTATTGAAAAGTCGAAAAACCCTAACGAGATTAACAGCCTCCGAAGTGCGGAGCTTTATATTCCAAGCTGTTGGCGCTGGCTTTGCTTCTTTCGTGTTGCAGCAGCAACCTCAGTCTCTTAGTTGATCTCAGGCGTCCCTGCTTCTTCACCTTCCCCTGTTGGCTTTACCAAGGTACGTTCACGTTCTTCTCTTCGTGGTTTGATTGGTCGCTCAGAAAATGGTGCAAACTAGAAAAAGAGAAGGAAAAGAAAAGAAAGCACAACTTTCGTTTTTATATGCTGTTGCTACTTCGTCTTGTGTAAAGCGAAAAGTTACCCCTTTGTTGTTGTTGTGAGATCCAAAATACACAGTGTTCAAAAGGCTACAACACAATGCATTGATCAATTTGATTGCAGGGGGAAATATGGGAAATGTCTTTTCTTTATTTGGGTGGTTTTGAAAATTCTGTCTTTGTTGTGACATGTGATGGGAAGGGAATTTGGCTTAACTGGATGTATCATAGGCTTCTAGTTTCATTCACTTTAGCAAATGGCTAAGGGTGTTGTTCCTATTGTTTGTACTGATTGTAGTCTTATTCTTGGTCCTGTGCCTCAATTGTTTGCTTCTGTTTTGCATTCTACATGGTAATGATAACAAAGATCCTGAGCAGCTAATTAAATTGTTTCCTCTCTGGACTTTGATGTCTTTGAAGAACCTTCATGCTTGGTTTGTAGTTTTTTTTTTTCTGGGGAATTTGATCTATTTTCGTGTTGAACATGCTTCAATGTTCTCAAAATATCAACTAACACCATAGTCTAGCCCTTATTCATTTTGCAAGCTTGTTTGCCTGATTGCATTATCTTTTTCCCCCTCAATTTGAGGTTTTTTGTTTCTACTTAATCTATCTCTTTCACTTCTAAAGGTGAAACCCAGAATCATACTTGATTCATTCTTTGTTTTTCTCTTCGTAGGAACAGCTAAGATGGGTCGTGTTCGCACCAAGACAGTGAAGAAGTCCTCACGTCATGTCATTGAGAAGTACTACTCTCGCATGACCTTGGACTTCCACACCAACAAGAAGATTGTTGCGGAAGTTGCTCTCATTCCTACAAAGCGCCTTCGTAACAAGATTGCTGGCTTCTCTACACACTTGATGAAGCGCATTCAGAAGGGTCCAGTTCGTGGCATTTCACTCAAGCTTCAAGAAGAAGAGCGTGAGCGTCGCATGGACTTTGTTCCTGATGAGTCAGCTATTAAGACCGACGAAATCAAGGTTGACAAGGAGACCCTTGACATGCTTTCTGCTCTTGGCATGGCTGATATTCCTGGCCTTGTTGAAGTCGAACCACAGGCTATGATTGCTCGCCCAGTTTTTGGTCGCCCGGGTGTTGCTGGTAGGAGATACTGAGATTATTGGGCTGTGCAGGTCGACTTGAGATTAAACAAGTTTTGATGGTGTTACTTAATATTCTTGCTACTAGTGAATTTTGATGTTTTTTTATGGATAATATGGCACATTGGTTTTTTTTTTTAATATTGAATTTGGATACAAATGTTACCTTAAAGTTCATTGAATTGATGATGGCAATCTCTCATATGATTTTTGGTTTTCAATCAAGTAATTGGAATATAACATCTTGACGTCTTCACAACTCATTGCCCTTCAACCTTGTTCAGATATATTAATCTTTATGTAAATGACGAGTAATGAACAACAGAATTTTGTCTATGGATGCTTACACTATAATAAAAAATGACAGTGGCTTAATTGTGCCACGCTCAGTCTGGACTCCTGCCTAGACTGCTTCATGCTTATACGACAATGAGGAAGATGCTCGACTTCTAGGGAGCCAGATGTTCACCACATTAGGGTTAATCTGGACTTACGTCGGAACTGCTTCTTTGTTATGCACCAGGACCCTGGGAAGGTGCTTAACTGCACAATCATAGATGCATGTTTAAGAGAGATGGAAACAAGTTGCAAGTTTCAATGTATGCAACATCAAGGCTAATACCTGTGAAACATCAAATCAATCTCATGTTGATTGAATGGAAATCACATTTTTATGCAAGGGAACTCCAATAACAACTATTTCACATAGAACTTACGGTTCTTACATATATTTGTACGCTAAACATGTTCATTGATGGAGTTAAGTAGCTTACATTGCTGATAAACTTTGCTCCAAACCATGCAGTATCTGCACCATGAGGAGGAGGGATGACTTTTATTCCATTCGATAGGGAAGGGGGGAGAAACTCATGTAGTTCCTTTTCTAACCTTTCTGGGAACAGTTAAACATACACAAATGTCAGAGATCATTCTAGTCAATCAACTTCAGCTACCTTTTCACTGGCAGAGGGTTTGGAAGATTATGATTTATCTTACATCCAACAATTCTCAAAATTAAAACAAAAGGAATGAAAACGACTGAAAATGCAGATTCTACCTGCAAGTCCTGGTAAACATGCAGTTCCCCCTGACAGAACTACAGTCTTAAACCAAGCATCATCACCTGTCAATTCTGCAGCATGACAATGCTCCATGCAAAGTGCTACTGCATGATGCAATCCCATAGCATGCCTGTACCAACATATTTATAAAAATTCAATATTTTCTTTCTTTTTTTGTATTTTCCCTTAAAGAGTATTTCGTTTTTGAATCATTTGCAAGATGTCAATCAGATCTCAAGAAATCTTAGATAGTTCACACACATTAAATATTTTCTTTATTTGTATTTTCCTTTAGGGTATTTCATTTTGAATTATTTGCAAGGCATCAATAAGGTCTCAAGATTAGCACTTGTGGTCTTCCTTATGAACCCAAGACGAACTGTTTTATTAATGCTATTATTATAGACTTACAGTCCTGCAACACGTGGCTGAAATAAGATCTCTCCAGTTTGAAAGCGTTCCTTTGAAAGAGTAAACCACCCCTCTGCTGGAACCTCCAATGATGCTTGGGTATCTTTAGATAGTTCTGTTTTATAATCAGCAGCAACATAGCATAGGTTCTGCATTTTAATGAAACTTAAAGAGCATCAAAAACCTTGAACGAGCAAGTAACTAATTACAGGAAAAAGGAAACAGAAATGGTCTTGCATGAACTTCATAGTGGTAAGCACCATCCAAAATTGAAGAAGATTACAGCATACCTCTTTTAGTGCCCGCACGGTGTACAATGATTCAAAGTTAATATTGTTCTGCTGCATGAGTTCCCTGAGGAATCCTGTGAGTTTCAATGCTCCCAGCCCAATGACTTCAACACCCACCTTACGCATAACTTTACCATGTAAAACTATAAAACAAAAAATACAGAAACCATATAAAATCGAATTCAATTATTTCTATGCCGAAAACAGAAAGTAGAGAAATACTCAACTTGGCAGAAAAAAATCACATTGATTAGTTTTTTTAATCCCCTTTATAACGGGACAGAAAAGAAAATGAAGGATATAAGAGATTGTCATGCAAAAAAGGAAATCAGAAAAAATTATAATAAACGCATTGATAAATCACCATTAATGCTTAAGGATTATTCACATATCAAACAGAAAATGATGAAAAAACTTGAGACAAGTCATGCGCTCACTTGGAACAACAGATGTAACTTGGAAACCAACGTTAACAACAATACCAGATGTTCGTCTTGCTGCATAGAGAGCTAAAGTAGCCTGCACAAATCTCATGCAAATGTCATTGAGTTAAGATCAAAGGAATAACAAAAGACTCTGTTTCTGAGTGGCTAAGTTGGAAAGAAATCAGCATTTCCACAGATGATTAAGAAAAAGAAACATAAATCATTAGCATTTCAAGCATGGAAAAAGATGAAAGATACATTCAATTTGCATTGTTCATAAGCTTTAAGAGAGGGAATAAGCATTGTCACCAATCAAGTTCCTTGTGCATTTTTTTTCCCTTTATGCCTCTTTCTGTTTGGTTGTTTCCTTATAGAACAATAATAACCAGTAGACAATATCTAGAGATAGAATGATGTACCTGATTGACAGCACAAACAGCAGGAACATTCAAGTCAAATAAGACTGTGTGGATGGCTTCTTTAAGCTGCCTTCTTGATGCTTTGGCAGATTCAGTATCTGCAGTAATCAAAATACATCCACAAGGAAGGTTATTAAGACCAATTAAATAGCAACAAAGCCACAATCTAAAATGCATGCAACAAAATGCAAATGCCAAGGAGCAAAGATCTAAAAGTCCGTATAGCTCTCAAGAGAGTATTCCTTATACAGTATTCGAACAAAATCATGACATGGGTTTCCATGAATTGAGCATTCAAAATTATGATAAAGCAGACAAAAATAGTAGCTAACCATCATAATGGCATATTGGAAGGGAGAGGAGAATTGGCTGAGTGTTTGGTTTAACCTGCATCCTGTACAAGACTACATCATCAAATTTACATCTCAAAGAATGAGTTGACTTGAGTGATGCGACATGCACATGCCCCACGTGAAAGAGAGGTTTAAAAATTAGAGGAAAGCAAAATTAAGGGATGAGCAATTGCAGATTAGACTGAAAAATAACAACACAACAAACCTGTTATAAATAGTTGCAAAAAAATGTCGAAGTCTAGAATACATGGGAGATTCGATGTTACCGAACTCCTGACACATCGAGGTCAAAGGCAAACTTTAAGTTAACATTATGTCTATACATATATAAGGAAGCTGAAGACGTATCCAACAACGGAATGGGATTTCCCCACATTCTGTGAAATTACAGGCTCACCAGAAATGTCGCAGACCGCCCGGATGGACAAGCATATTTGCTCCAACCGAACTTGCAATAGCCAGAACCACCTTTTTCAGGTTATGAAAGGAGAAAAGAAAACAAAAAAGAAGATAACCATCAAGAATTGTGAGGAACAAGAGACCAGCTATGTCTGTTTCAGATTCCACAGTACTAGGGACGATAAGTAGTTACCATCGATAATAACAGAACCACGGACTTGTGCACGCTGACCATAAATGCGCATGAAAGATAACTCCCCTGTCTGACTTGGGAATGTTCTGAAAAAAAAAAATCACAATACACTTGGTTCAATTATTCCCATACTGACGAAGAAATTCCAAGAGGAACTCCTAACAAAGTTAAAATGAATGATCCTGGTTCAATCAAAGCATAATTCGAGCAGAAAAAGGGTTGTGCTTGGTGGGAAAGAATAGGAAAGCAAAAGGGCGACGAACTGGAGAGGATAACCGGATCTCAAGTTCAACTCGGCGAAGAAAACACAGTCCCAAGGGTCGTGGTGGTGATTCTGGAGAAAGTATATCCATAGTCGATTATCAGACACAAGCAATCTCCAGGCTCTGCTGACGCAGCTCAGCTTAACGGCGTCCTTGGGCCCCACCAACCTGACTATCTGCACCAGAATATCCAGCGGAATCTCATCGAACAGCGCTCCCAACGATGAAGACGTCGTCGTAATAGTTGAAGAAGGAGCATCAGCTATTCGAGTGGCTCGGTGGATGGCTGAGTCGGAGTTTGAAGAGGAACGATTGGACACTGATTCCCAGACCTTCCTGAGCAACGTAGCCATAGCCTCAGTGCTGTCTGAATTTTGAGAAAAGAGAAGATTTTTCTTATGTCGGAATCAGACAATGATCTGAATTCAGATGAGATGGGGAGTTACCAAGTTAGGTGGGGGTGAACGCTTCTTTCTTCTTCTGCCTGCTGGTTGACGATGACGTGGAAAGAAACGGTAATGACACGTGGGGAATGGATAGCTCTGCAAACTAACGGCTCCTGCAACGTGGACCGTGGTTCCTCCTCTGTCTCTTGGCTTCCTATTAACTCAAATTTTGTACTAAAATTGTGTAGCCAAATTTTATATTTTGTTTTCTTTTTCATATATTTTTCTTTTAATATTTTCCTTTTTAATTTTAATAAACAAGGAATCTATGATTTAATTCAATTTAGAGAAAATCGTGACTAATAAAATTTGCAATGAGATAATAAAAGTGAAAGTGAAACGACTCTTTACATTGAACTCCATTCTACATCTTTTAAAAGGATTTAGACAATTAACTTTCAATTAGACAAAACCTACTTTGCTTTATATGCTTAAATAGAAGATGTAAGAAAAAATAATCTCATTGAAAATATGTACATGTCTTAAATTTAAAAGTAAGAATTTTTTTTAATTGATACATCTTTTAAATTGAAAACAAAAACTCATGATATAAAAATGTTGTTAAATTGAACTGCATGAATAGAGCTTAAAGATTGTAGATTTTCAAAAGAGTCCAGACGATTAACATTAAACCTTCTTTGTCATGTTTGTTTAAGTGGATGAGTGATAAAATAAAAAAAAATAATTTCATTGAAATAGAGACATGCCTTAAATTTATAAGTAAAATTTTTTTTCAAAGTAAAAGATTCGTATTTTGAATTAAAAAATAAATGCATGACATAAAATTATTAAATTAATTCATATGAGCAGAGTTAAAAATAGCCGACCTCGGATAATTGCCTATGGATTTATTTTCTTGGCAATCATCTTATAATTGATCAAAATAATCTAAAATTAGAGCTGATTTGACATGAATGGTAACTGGAGCTCCATTCAAAAATTTAGTTAATTCAAAATGGTATATTATATCATGTGCAAAATGACTCGAAATTTCTAAAATCGAAAAAATTAAACAATTGGAAATGAAAATAACTGGATCTGAAATAATAAATAATATTTAATTCGAAATTATCCTACTCCAAATGAGCTGACATGGAAAGTAATTAAGCCGTAGATTTGCCACATATGTTCACCTTATGCTAATACATAATTGATCAAAGATTCTCCTTGTGAGAATATAAAAAGCAGTGGATAAGCGGTAAAAAAAAAATACTAGTAATTCCTTCATCTCTCGAGTTCTCGCGATCCACGGTCTAATTATCATCATAGTATATTATTTATTTATTTAATTATTTATTTATTGTAATATTACCATATTAATCGAAGGAATATTGGGATTTTGTATATGAGAGCCCTTTTTTTTGATGTCGATTGAAATAATTACGAAGTATTTATATATATATATATATATTTATTTATTTCTTAAAAAGAAGCAATTCTGATGCTGATATTTTCATCTCCAGATCGGAGGAGAGGACCAGCTTCCCTACAATCTCTTGTTTTTTAAAAAGAGGTCAATTTGCTCATTTTTTTTTTGCTTTTTCTTTTACTTGTTCGCGATTCATGTTTTTGATGTTGATCATCTTCGATCTTCAGTTTTCTTTTTCTTTTGTCATCATTTCTGTTAATCGATGCATAGTTGCGGATACGAATTAATTCGTTATTTTTAACACTTTTTGCTGTGTTTTTTTTTATATTTTTTAAAAAAAGAGTTATTATTCGCAATTGAATGTTGTTGCATGATTGCTCTGATTTGGGAGTTTAATTTTCGTTGGGGGATTTTCCATTAGGGTTATATTAATCAGGCAATTTCTTATTTTTTTGGCTTTTTATCCTTTTTCATCAGTTTTTGCAATTTAAATTTAGCAATGGTAAATTCGCATGGGATATGAATTTGATGAGACTTTACTGCTTTGCTGGGCCCCAAAAATCCACAAGGATGCATAAGCCTGCAAAGGGGAAAATTAGAAAGAAGAAACTCTCCTTTGTAGGAGGCAAAAGTTTACAAATTTAGGGACCCCGGACATGTTTTTTTTGGATATTGCATGCTTGAATGACACAAAGCTAATTTCTGTATCTATCCTAACATGATTTTAGCATAGTTGAATTGACAGTAGTACGAAAATTTACTTCAAAATGTATAACATGTGTTTCCCATAAATAATTTATGGTGGGGATTGACTCATATGCTATCAATCTTTCATTAGTTTATCTCCTTGCCGATATAAGTGTTTCATACACACTGAGAAAAAACTTATATTATGGACTGGTGGTAGTCTTGCACTTGTTATTTTTGGATACTTGTTTCCATTTCCCTTTCCTTTTCCTGGGGATCCAATGTCTGACGGGGGATTTGATTTTTTCTTTAATTGTGGCTTGGACGTGGTTCTAGTCTCTGTTGGTGTCAATATTATCATGTTCAATATCTATAATGTTGTCTGAGTTTTTCTTTATAGATATGGTTATTATCATTTAGTTGTTGATTAATTACGGATGCTTGAATTTATATTGATTTAGTGTAGTTTTGTCTGGTAGAATATGTCCCACTACCACGAAGATTATGCTGGATACATGGCAGATGAGTATGACATGGAAGACATAGATGATGACATGGATGAAGAGTCTCGTGGCAGATATATGTCTGGCTCGGACTCTGATCTTGATGAATATGACTACTTGGTTCGTTTTATATTTTACAAGATTCACATAGGCATTTCTTATACAACTCAGTTCATATGTCATTAGCTTAATCAAATATACAATATAGCTTTGCTGTTTTTAAAATTTTTGAAGTTTTTGTTAGAGTATTTGTGGATGTCAGCCACCCTAATGTAATTTGACTGTATTGCAGAATAATAAAATATCTGATACTTCTGCTTCTCAAGCTAGAAGAGGAAAAGACATCCAGGGAATTCCTTGGGATCGGCTTAGCATCACTAGGGAAAAATACAGGCAAACTAGGCTAGAACAGTACAAGAACTATGAGAATATCCCTCACTCTGGAGAAGGGTCAGGAAAGGTAAAACTTGTTATAGTTGCCCGCTTTCCTTTCATACCAGTTTCTTGGATCTAATATTTTTGATAGTAATTGAACTAAGTTGAAATGTCAATTTGTATACAGGATTGCAAAATTTCCCAGAAGGGTGCCTCATATTATGACTTCAGACTTAATTCAAGATCTGTAAAATCAACAATACTTCATTTTCAGGTTAGCAGAATGGAAGTTTTTGTTTAATTAATATAAGCTATCTTTACCCCTTCGTATTTTGTGGCATCACAGAAGGATTTTTTTTTTTCCTTTTAAAGGTTATGCTTTAATGTTCTGGCCAGTCCTTTCCCTTTAGTCGGCTTAACTGTGCTGTGATCATCATTGTTGACTGATAAACATATCCGCTTGTGGTGATGCAGTTGAGGAACTTGGTATGGGCTACATCAAAACATGATGTTTATCTTATGTCACATTTTTCTGTTATGCATTGGTCTTCATTGACACATCGCAAGCGTGAAATTCTTAATGTTTCTGGGCACGTGGCACCATCTGAGGTCTGTGTCTGGAATGATTTGGTTTCTTCTCTGAAGTATTGTTGTTGTTTTCTGTTCCTCTTGTTCTTTTCCTTTCTTTCCCCCTATCTTATGTCTTCTGAGATTGATCAATGTGTTTTCCCTTTTAGAAACATCCTGGAAGTCTGATGGAAGGTTTTACACAAACTCAAGTCAGTACTCTCGCTGTAAAAGATAACCTGCTAGTTGCTGGAGGGTTCCAGGGTGAGCTAATATGCAAGGTAAGTGGTGTAACTTTTTTTCCTCGAAATCTTTTGCTGACATAACAGAGATCAGAAAAATGAATAAGCCTTTGTATAGCAATTGCAGAGCTGCTTTTCTGTGCGATGTAGCTCTTTCTCAGTTTTTGCCAGTTACTTGAAGTTGAAAGTTTAGATATAACTTCGAGATTATTTTAGTTCAATCTATTGTTGGACATATCTGTCATGTTGTAAGATGGATCTGGCTAAATTTATATTTGAAGAGAGCTGATTGTTTTTTTGCTAAGGTCTTGCTAACTGTAGTACTGTTGCTGGTGATCTTAAGAATTAATTATTTGAATTTGATCTGGAATGTAGCATTTAGATCGACCTGGAATAAGCTTTTGTTCCAGGACAACTTATGATGACAATGCCATTACAAATGCTGTTGAGATTTATGTCACTCCAAGGTATTTCTTGTTGACTGAGCTGCTGGTGGCATTGGTCGCATTCAACCTGAACCTAATTTTGCTTTGTTTTTGAAATTCCAGTGGTGCAGTTCACTTTACGGCCTCAAATAATGACTGTGGAGTCAGAGATTTTGATATGGAAAAATATCAGCTGTCTAAGTATTTTCATTTTCTTTGGCCAGTTAATGTAAGTTCCCTATATTGGATTCCTTTTATTTTAGATTGGTAAACATACATGTAAAATTATTCTCTGTAAAATTTGACTTGCAGTATGCTTTTTTTTTTGAAAATTAATGATTTGCAGTATGCTAATTATTGGTTCTATTAATATTGATACAACATGCAGCGAGGATAAATACTATGACCTCTGCTAATGCATTGCTTTTGCAGCATACTTCTCTGGGTCCTGATGGGAAACTTTTAATAATAGTTGGAGACAACCCTGATGGTATGTTAGTGGACTCTAGCACGGGGAAGGTAATTGTCTACTTGCTTTTCCATGATTAGTTTACATGTTGGATATTGCAAAGGCTAGCATCTGGCATCGGCTGATTGGAAATTGCATTGCAGACTGTTATGCCCTTGTGTGGACACTTGGACTTCTCATTTGCATCAGCATGGCACCCTAATGGTGTCACTTTTGCTACTGGGAACCAAGACAAAACTTGCCGAATTTGGGATGTTCGGAACTTGTCCAGGTCGGTTGCTGTTCTTAAGGGAAACCTTGGAGCAATACGGTCCATTCGCTACACATCTGATGGTAAGTACATGGCAATGGCTGAGCCTGCTGACTTTGTGCATGTGTATGATGTGAAAAGTGGGTATGAGAATGAGCAAGAAATCGATTTCTTTGGGGAGATATCTGGCCTATCCTTTAGTCCTGACACAGAGTCTCTCTTTATCGGTGTATGGGATCGTACATACGGTAGTCTTCTTGAGTATGGTCGTTGGAGGAACTACTCATACCTTGATTCCCTAATTTGAGTTGATTATGCTGTATGCAAAATAAGCATGGTGTTGTGGCTGTTGTTGATGGTATTTGACGAATGTAATAACATTCTAAGCTGTAGAAGTTGTAGATGTAAATGTAAGATGTATTCTGTAATTGTAGGTTATTTCTGTTCAGTTAGATTTTTATTTTCTGCAAAACGTGTGGGGGTCATTCAGCAGAAGATGCTAATGGGAGGGGGATGTACAGAAGGCTAGAAAGGCCCGTTCATGTGAAGAGGAAGAATGAAAAGAGTAGTATGGTTTCCTTGGGAGCTAGACAATTTTATGAGTGGTTTGCGGCCTGTCTTTTCTCCCCTCACTTCTTTCTTCTTACTCTCTTTTTAAATATGATTAAGGATTCAAATGAGGATGATTGTGGTTAACAATCCGTTTGTTTGAGTTTGCATTAAGTTTGACTTAATCCCATTACCTAGATACAAATAATGAGGTTTTTTTTTTTTTGTTGTTACAAGAAGGTTTTGAATTTTTTTAGGCAAGGATTTGTACAACCAATGAGCTTGTGCTTGAGCTTGAATGAAATTCAGAACTTGATTTTGAGCTGGATTATGTGAACCAACCAGCAGTAGAGCCAAGACTATATAACAGATCCGACTGTGATATAGAAACCATTGCCCAGGGTCCCTTGGTCCTTGGACATAACCATAACTTTCAATCTAGTTTGAGCTTTGTGGCTGTTGCCATTTGGAACCGAAAATCTCTGATCCAGAAGGAACCAATGAAACAAAGCCAAGTCCTCATCCAAAATCTTTCCCCCACCATTCCCATCCTCACAATCCCTCTCTCCTCCTTCCTACCACCACTTGTTTATATATCATCTTTTCTACACACTTCTCTAAAATCATCTCCTCCAAAGTCTATTCGTCTTCTTTGACTATTCCTCAACCTCAATCCATATTGTGCAGCTACCATGCAGCGGCCCTCTCAGCTTTGGTCACCCCGCCTTCTCCATCCAAAGAACCATCCACCCCTCCCAGCATCTCATCCAAGGCCTCAGACCCTCAGCAAGGCAAAACCTCACTACCCAAGGTCGCCCTCACCTCAAGGAACTCATCTGCTAGGCTTGCTGTCAAGGCAGAGCTCAGCGCCCCGCTTGTGATAAGCCTCAGCACGGGTCTCTCCCTCTTCTTGGGTAGGTTTGTGTTCTTCAACTTCCAAGAGAGAACGTGGCGAAGCAAGTGCCTGAGCAAAACGGCTTGACCCACTTTGAGGCTGGGGACACACGAGCCAAGGAGTATGTTAGCCTGCTCAAGTCCAACGACCCTGTGGGATTCAACATCGTCGATGTTCTTGCTTGGGGGTCCATCGGCCATATTGTTGCTTACTACATCCTGGCCACCTCCAGCAATGGCTATGACCCCAAGTTCTTTGGCTGAAACCTCATCTTCACTTCTTCTGCCGTATTTTGCAACCATTGTATAGTTTTCTCTATTAGTTGGGGGAGGTTGGATTTCTTGCTTCTCTCCTGTTTGATTTCTGGGGTTTCTTGGATGAATATGTTTACTTGGTTGGTCAAAGGAAATGGCAGTGGGACTGTATCGTTTAAGTTTGTGTTGAGATTGTTGTGAACTAATACCATTAATCATGTCTGCAACTGTGATTCCATCAAACAGCTACTACTAGCCCAGCTACTAGTACTATCTACTATTACAGCCAAGCCGGCAAAAGCAGCTATGATCCATTCAAAGGGTTAAATTAATTTCATATACATGCTTACTGGATTTCTTTTCGTGGAGATAACAGAGACAGGCACTCACAGGGCAGAATTTTCTGTCCATTCCATCCCTAATGACAGAGCAACTAATAACCCAGGACACCCATGGACTTAAAACCATGGTTTAGAACTAGTTTACTGTAAACAGATAATATATATATATATATATATATCTATCTCACAAGCATTGCAGCATCCCCACCGTTGGATTTGAATTTTTTTATTTATCACTCTTCCCAACCTGTAGCAGGCGGACAAGTTCCACAAAATTGTATAAAATACTCAATAAAAAAGGGTCACCATCATCTTACTTTACCATTATAACCTAATCTCCTAATCCACAGTCCCACTGTTTCCATCTAAAATTTCAGATCTTACCTAAGTAATACGATAAAATTTCAAATTTCAAGCTCCCCAGAGTTTGTCTTCAACAGGTCTTTCTAGGATTTGGGTCTCCGTAGGTTAATTCTTTTTAGGGTAGTAGAAACTTTGTGGTTTCTTCATGAAGATAACTATGGTTCTATTATTATTGTAAACCAAACAAGACTTTGTTAGTACTGCTAGTATATTATTAAATATATATACATATATATATATATATATAGGGAAGGAAGCAGAACAACCATCTATATCTACTAGTACTAGTTAATTTAAATTCTTAATCAAACCAAAAATCTTTTACCTTTGTTGAGTTTGGGTCTAAAAATGTCTCAACAACAGCAGCAGAGTGAGAGTACAAATGGGCAGTGCACCAACATGCCTCGCTATCCCTCACCAACCGCCAAGTACGAGGATGTTGCTCGAAGCTCTGACCTTTTCTGGGAAAAGCTCAAAGCTTTTCACAAATCTCTCGGCAAAAAATTCAAGTAACTCTCTTTCCTTACAATTGCTAACAATTTCTTTCTTCCTCTTCTGAAGATGGTGTCTTTCTGAGTTCAACAAGTTTTTCCCATTACTCTGTGTAGCGAAAGAGTGTGTCTTCCGCTTCGACAGTTTGATTTCAGGATTCATTGTTGGGATTTCGCCCCCTTTTTTCGTTTCTGCTTTTTATCAGCCTGTTGGTATTCGTTTTCTCAGATTCCAAATGGGATTTCACTGGCTCAGACAATTATATTTTCTATGTATAAAGTTTTCGATGAATATAGCAGTGACTGGGTGTTTTGTGTGTAACTGGTAAATGCAAGGTTTAAAGCAAGCCAATTTCTTTATTGAAAAAAGAAATAACAAAGCAATGGCAATCCTGCTTGTTTATTCCGATTGTAAACCATCTCTCTTACTATCAATAGATCCTAATACTTAAACTATCGCATCAATTCTCTCCCTATAGTGGATAATGATACTTGCTTGTGTCTTGTTGCTTGATATATCTATCCTCTTCTTCGTATCCTTTACTAGCCTGCAAACCTCATAATCTGTCCCCTTTTCTTTGTTTACCTTACCATACTTGAAATATGATGTAGAATGCTCATGCATGAACACATATGCACACACCTGAGAAAGGGAGGAACTGGGGTTTCTTTTGCATGTTCATTAAGGCTTTTAAAGTGTCTGCCTCTTGGCTTTGTTATTCGTCGAAATTTTGTATTAAAAAGATCACCTTTTGGAGAAAGAGAAAATGGGGGTGGGGTGTGGGTGAAAAAGAAAAGCACAGCTTAGGATATATGGTCTTGTGATGTTTTGGTTGGACAGGGTTCCAGTTGTTGGAGGAAAGGCTCTGGATCTGCATCAACTCTTTGTGGAGGTCACATCTCGTGGAGGTCTTGAAAAGGTATTGTACTTACAATTAGGATACAGTCTGTGATATAAAACTTTTTGGTCTGAGGCATAATCTAGTGTTAGGGAAAATGTTGATGACCTCATTTTCATTGGTTTGTTTTCTCCTGATATGACCTGGAATCCCCTGTAGCTTTTGCAGCTCACTTTACAGGGGACCATAATCTTGGGTTGTGATGCTAGGATGACTAAAACTTTTTCTCTCTAGTTTCTGTGGCCATAAGTTGTAAACAGATTGAGTTGGTCCAATAAATTAGTATGTTACACCCCTTCCGAGGGATGTTTATTATCTTTTCGTTTTAAATTCCCTTGAAATGGTTCACAGGTAATAAAAGATCGCAGATGGAAGGAAGTGATTGTGGTCTTCAGATTTCCAACAACTATTACAAGTGCTTCATTTGTTTTAAGGAAGTATTACTTATCATTGCTATATCACTTTGAGCAAGTCTATTACTTCCACAAACAAGTTTCTTCGGTCTCAACCCCTGGTATTTGAAAACTGAATTTGATTTTTTTTCCCGATAGAAGCATTCTTTGTTTTTTGAAGAAATTTTTTGTAGCGTGTAATATATATTTTCTATTCTATTTTTGCAGGAACTGCCAGTGGGAGCCTTGTGAATGCATCTGCTAACACAAAGGGAGGTGCTTCTGCAAACCAATTAACAGCTCAGGGTATGTGTAACTACATATTGACATGAAGGAGCTTTTCATTCTGATACAGGAGTATATTATTAGATTATTATTATATAGGTCCCACATTCCCATATATCATTATCTCTAATCAGACATGCAGTTACTTGATATCGCTAGGATTACTAGACTTGCATGGTAATGTCTTTAACTATATTATCATATTATAATAGCCTAATAGTAACAAAAAAGTTAGCGTTCTATAAGTTATGAAAAACCACTGCATTATGGTTGCTTTTCCATGAATCTAAATCTCCAATAACTGATGTTCCCTCATACCTAGATAGCTGTACAAGCCAATTTGCTGAGTTATTTCTGCAGTAGTAATAAAATCTGCAATTTAAATTTCCATAAGATCTCAAATGCAATATTACAAATTTAACAAGCTGAGTTTAGCTATGAAATTCTCGGTTTTCAGTCAAGAAAGAAAAACAAGCTGAGTTTTAGTCTGGCTGGCCATTTGAAAAACATCAGTTTGCTTTGAAAGGATTTAGGGGGTACTTAATTAATTTTTATACCAAATTTTGCCCTATCCCAGATGTCTACGTCATATACCTCTTTGCAAGGGTGTGGATGTAGCTTTCTTGTTAAATGAGGGCTCTTACCAATCTTATACAAGCAGGAACTCCAGAGTTGCAGATTGGCAGTTCTGTGACAGGGACCATTGATGGCAAATTTGATAATGGCTATCTGGTTACGGTTAGGTTGGGCTCTGATCAATTTAAAGGCGTCCTGTATCATATCCCCCAAATGCTTCAATTGTCTCAGAGTTCAAATACTTCAGATGTATCTCCTCACCGCCACCGGAAGAGATCCCGGTTAGCTTTACGGGACCCTTCCAAGCCAAAGTCAAACAGGAGTGGTTATAATTTTTTCTTTGCTGAGCATTATGCCCAGCTCAAACCTATGTACCATGGGCAGGAGAAAGCCATCAGTAAGAGGATTGGGCACCTATGGAGCAATCTGACGGAGGCTGAGAAACAGGTAGGAAGTAGATATATGTATGTGTATATATGTCTGTGCAGTTAATTCTGTGGGTTTCATTTAACATTTGGAGCTGCTTATGTTGACTTTAATTGACTGTGATGTAGGTTTATCAGGAGAAAGGGATGAAGGACAAGGAGAGATACAGAACTGAAATGTTGGAATACAAATCTTCTTACGACTCTACACCTCAATAGCCTCCAAGGAGTTGGTTGTTGGGAACTCAACGACAGGGTGTCAACCCTCCCTTGATGTTTGTTGTTGTTTTTAACTTTTCCCTTTTCTTCCATTTGCTTGATGAAGATTATCTGAACCCTGCCCATTGCAGAAACTTTGGGTGATCGGATGGCAGAGTTTTGTAACATGTCCTATATATATATATGTATTAATCAATCAAAAATGCTAGCAGCGTAGAACGGTATTGAATCCAAAGCATGATAGCAGGTAGCACATTTCCATTGATCTGGATGAAACGACAAAGAAAGACCTTTATCATTTCAGTACCTTAAACGCAGATGACTGAATACTTTGGAATCAATATGTCAGCTGTCACCTTATTCATCATGCCTCCATATTTTGAGAAAATATGCGATAGCAAATGATATATAAAGTTATGAACACTTTTCTGAGCGAAAATGATCAGAGTGTTGATGGTAGAAGCAATCTTACTCAAGCCGAACATAATCTCAGACATTAATGTCCATACTGGTTGCTGCTAAACACCAAGCCAGCAGCACACAATGACCATGAATTCTCAAGCTAAGATAAACAAACAAATCGAAGTGATAAACTATATAGTTTAGAATTGCATCATGCTTGAGTGAAAAACAACCTTGTAGGTAAGGACTAGTATTGAAAGGAGCTCAAATTCTCAAATCAAGCCTGACAACATTTCCACATTTGACCAAGTTGTGGTGTTATCAAAAGCGGGGAAAAAGGAAAAGAAAAGGCTCTTAATCATAATAACAATGAAATCTTACATTTGGATCATTGGCTACAAACATTAGAATACACAAAAGAGGACCTATTCTCTTTTAACTCAGGTGGGAACAACCACCCCTGAATGGGGTGACAACTGCAAGACAATGAACCAGAACACTAAAGCCAGTAACACCAACTGTGTGAAAAAACATGAAGTAACCTTACAAATCCTCCTCTGCATCTTCAAAACTTCTTCAATACCTACGACATCTCCACAATACTTTTCCAACTCCTCTGCTTGTTTCTTTAGCATTGCAGCCTTGTTTTCTGCCTCTCTGAGCTTATTCAGCATCTGTGCCTGCTTCCCTGCAAATGATGTTGGTTCTTCTAGTAATGTGACTTGATTGCCCAAGGAAATTCTCAACTTCTGTAATGCCATGGTTAGGGCTAGAAACTCAATTTCAGCCTCTATTTTTTGTTGAAAGAGGCCCTCAAGGTAGGATTCTATCTCTCTATATTTATCTTGCTGCAACTCTGCATTGCTTCCTGAATCTCCCTTAGGTGACCTGCTACTGTTTGCATTGGTTTCCAGTTCTAAAATCCTTGATTCCTTCACCTGAAGCACAGCTCTTGCTTCTTCCAGTTTGCTCTCCAAATATTTTACTTTCTGTGTTAAGGTGAAGACCTGAGTTTCCACGGAACCTGAAGTACTTTCTCTAATCTTTTCAGAAGCTAACTGGTCAGATGAGCTAGTTTCATGGATTTCATGATCAGAAAAAGTAGAATCCACAGGAACACTGTTAATATTAACTGAATCATCATGTAGTGATGTGCGTTCCTTTCCTATCTCCCCTAGTTTCTGTACTTCTGCAAGGAAAAATTGCTCTGTTAAACTTAATAAAAAACAGGGCACAGTAAGGCTTGCATGAAACAACCAATATTTAGTAAAATAGATGATCAAGAATAACTTCACGAAGAATGAACAAGCACTAAACATGTACGTCATAGTCCTAGACTATTCCATATGATTAAACGTCAACCATCATATATCCATTACACATTCAAGACAAACCAAACAAATGTGACAATGTCATTGTAACTCCATTCCTCTCTCACTTCCCACAACCCATTTTCAGTGTGCCTTCCCCTCTAACAACTCTCAATTAACATTGACTAAAAACCAGAAAATATCATTGGTGTGATTCTCCCAAGAACTAAATTTATTTACTGTTATGATGATCGTTCATTGCCAGATCTCTGTTTTTAGATTCTTAGCCAGTTCTACCTGGAATATGCACAGAGACTGGTATGGAAATTTTCAAAGTCTGGCCTCAACAAGGCTTTATGAAAAATCAATTTTTCATTCTTTGTCCAAACTCTGAAGAAAAGCAGGACATAGTTATCAACTGCTTTAAATAAATAATTAGAGAAATATTTCTGGGGATTGTCAAATAAATAAGCAAAGAAGAATATTCACAAATTAAGAAGTGCAGTATGATCGCGAAGATGGATTCACAGGACATATGATGCACTAGTCCTGAGTAGTAAGAATATATTATCAAAAAAATCATGAGAAGGTTTATCAAAAATATCAGAATGATATCCCACCCACCTCTTTCAAGGGCTTCCTGGACAGATTGGAGGGCAAAAATAGACTCAACCAATGGATCTTGATCAGTTGAAGGCTGATTATTCTCACTTTTTTCTTCCTTAGCTTCCCAAGATAAATCTGCAGCGAAATCATCCAGCGAAAGTTCTTCAATTTCACCTGAATTTTCCTTCCTAAAAGCAGTTTGAACTTCCTCACCGACCATTTGTTCGCCTTCATGAGCTTCATCACTATTTTCCCCATCAAAATTCATGGGCTTTCCACCTTGCTTTCCGTTACTTGTCACTGAAAATGGACCCTGCATAAAAACAAAGTTGGAGCTTCTTGAGTCAGATTCCATGCTGGAATGAGAGTTTTCCTTCTCGATTTTGACCCTTTCTCCTCTGGGCTTCTTGCTGCTTTCAACACGACCGTTTCCCTGTTGAACTCTTTGACTTGAATTACCCACACTCTTCCCACTTAAATTCTTCATCTGGTTTTTCTCGTTCATGTACCCCAAAACTGCAGGCAGGTCATACCTCACCTTTGGCACACTGGCTGCTGTAGATGACTTACTACTCCGATCCTCGCTATTGTCAGAGTCTGTTGCAGCAGCAATAGCAGCCCCAACTGCAAACCTGGAATCTGAGCTGGGGCTAGGCATCATAGGCCCATGAGCAACACTTGCGTTTTTCAACATATTAACAGATCCAACAAGATCCTCACTATTCTGCTTGATCTCAGGTGATGCCATATGTCGAGGTTTGGTTGGATTTGCAGAACTGGACAAACCCCGCTTCAATATTTTGCTGCTGTCTGCAGTGGCCGTGGCATCCTTAACAAAGTCTCTCTTGATACGCCTCCATTTCTTCAATCCATACCCTTTGGTTGAAGGAGGAGATGGCCTATCAGAAGATTTAGCTGTTAAAGGAGGTGAATGCATTGGCTGCACAAGTTCAACAGTACCCTTCACACGATTATCAGCTGTCAAAGCATTGGAATGGATACTTTGATCAGTTGCCAACCTCTGAGTCTCATCATCATTTGCACACAACCCATTATCCTTAACCTTGTAAATATCAACATGATTATTATCATCAACATGAGGTACAGTGTGTTGAGTTACTTCATTATCCTCCACAAATTCAAGCGCAGAGCATTCACTCTCCAAATCCATAAATACCAATACGTGTTTCGCTCAAGATTTACTCAGATCCAGATCAAGAACAACAACTATCATTCCAGCAACATCATTTCCAAATCAACCAAAATCTGGAAAGAAACATATCAGGCCAACCATTCTCTTCAATAATCATATCAAAATTCAATTAAATGAATAAAAGTTAACTACACCCATCATTGGATTCTCTATTACCATCAACTTTGAATACAAATCAAGGAATTCAAAGTGGAAAATTTAGCTTGACTTTTTCCTTTTTTCTGTAACATCATAAAAGCTTAGCAAAGATTGAATCCAAAATAATGAAAATGAATGAATTAAATGAACTGGGAAATAGGAAAAAAGTGAAATTTAGGATGTATTGTACATGTTATGAGATTAAAAAACGTACCTTTTATATAGTCACAGGAATATCTTCTCATAAATGGAGATGAGGGATTGGAATTGTAGATGAATATGTTGATAACGGTGGTGATGATGATGAAGATGATGATGATGATGACGACGATGACGACGATGACGATAAATCGAAGGAAATGGGAAACCCTAAACTCTGGTTAGATTTGCAGTTATATAGGCCAAGAAATTATTGGGAGCGAAATTATGGTAATTCTTTCGGTAATTTAAAAGCTTTTTAAGTATGGTGAAATACGAAAATAACGTAGTAAGTAAAGGATATGGAGATGAACGTCGGGGAGACTTGGGGATGGGGTGGGTAGGCCCACATCGAAACCGCCCAAGTGGGCAGTGCTGGCCATCTGATCTGGATCTTGGAAATGATAGGGGGACTGGGAGAAAGGTTTGGCTTTTACTACACTGCCCCTTTCATGGGGGATGGGGGAAGCAGGACAGGATTCCATCAACTTACAGGTTTGGTCTTTGGGTTTGTGTCTGTCTTTCTGGGTTTTGAGTGGAATGGGATGGAATGGGCCTTCCTCCTCTTCTCTTCTTTGCAGGGAGGATCACTGGATCAGGATGGGCCTTCTTCTGATGGAGTAACCAGTTATGGAATTGGTTCATGATCTGTACAAACTCTTTCCTTTCGGTTTGCAGTGGATATTGCAAATCAATTGATAGCACTATATCTGTCAATATGGGCCGGCCGGATCCAACCCAGCACTAATCTTTGTGGGTTGGAAAAATATGGACAGGACCGGGCCAGCTCATATTTTATATGAGCTACAAAATGTTCAACCCAGTCCACCCCTTGCTAGCCCATGGACCAGGCCGAGCTAACCCATTTTTTTCAAAAAAAAATTATTCTACTACTCATCAATACAAGTATACAATTATACTATGATTTAGTCTAAAATTAAATAATAAAAACATATTACAAACAAATAAGCAAATACATACATCAAATATAAATAAAATTTCAAATTTTCAATATTAACACAATACACAAACTACAATCCCATCCATATAACTACATAAATACATAATCAAATATTCATAAACTTCAAGACTAAGTAATGTTTTTCTCAATCTTCATCCTCAATCAAAATATTTGAGTCTTCTTTGGACAACAATGATGTCTCCAAGTCCTCGTCATTATCATCTAATATTCATTGTCATAAAAGAAATAGATATAATGAGTTTGAATTTTAACTAAAATTATTAATTTAACAAGAAAAGATTAAAGACATTGAGATATATAAAATAAACAATACCATCGGCAGCTAAAGAAAAGCCATGCAACCAATTTTTCGTGCAAACAAGCATTTGAACATTTTCATGGTGGAGGGAACTTCTAAACTTGGTGAGAACATGATCACCGTTACTAAAAGCAGACTCTGATGCTACTGTAGTAATCGGAATGCTCAATACATCTCGTGCCATAATAGAAAGATCAGAGAAAGCGCTTAGCATTGTCCTTCCAATAATTAAGCACATCCAAGTCTTCAAACACTTCATAATCAAGTTTTGCCTCATCTAAATAAACATCCAACTCAGACTTTCCAGCAATAGAAATTGTTTCATTTTGAAACAGTTTGAACTTCTATAATTTTTAAATACATAGACAAAAAAAAATTATCAAAACATAAATAAAGTAACATAAATTCTCACGTAATAAGATTAAGGAAAGATACAAAACTTACACTAAAGATCTTTGATCCCTTGGGTTTAGTTCCCCTTTCGACTTGCTTAGGCAAATTACTCATTGAGTGAGATGATGTACTTGATGCACATGTGTTGCTTGCATATTGTTCAAAGAACTCGTACAACTTTGATCTTCACATTTTCTAACTTTTCATGACAAGTAGAAGCGTCAATCTTAGAATAGCAAAATTTTAAGAAATCAAGCTTCATCCTTGGGTCAAGAATAGCTCCAAATGCAAGCACTACACTATAATCTTTCCAGTACTTGTCAAATTTCATTTTCATCCTTTGGAGACATATCCTTGATAACCTCATCTCCATTATGCAAATTCTCATTTAAAATCGATTCAATTTTCCAAACTGCATGAAATACAATTAGAAGTTGGATAAGATGAACCAGATATCAAGTTTGTAGTCTCATAAAAGGGCTCTAAGAATTCACAAATTATCATTGCTCTCCCCATTCCTCATCAGATAGATTATATTTATAAGTTCTATCAACAAATTGGAGGCTAGCAAAGCTTTTTGATATTTGATTGCACTTTCAAGCATCAAATATGTTGAATTCCATCTAGTTGACACGTCTAAACGCAACCCAACACCTGCATCAATACCAACGTGTTGAACACATTCTTGAAACTTTTTCATCCTCCCATCCGATGCCTTTACATATTTCACACTCTCCCTAATTTTAAACAATGCTTCATTAACTACTTTCAAGCCCTCTTGAAATATAAGATTTATATATGAGCACAACAACGCACATGAAAAAATTCACCATCACAAATCAAGCTACTTTGCAAATGAAGATGACCTTTCAAGATAACTTGCATGTTATCATTAGCAGAAGCATTATCTAGAGTAAGAGAGGAAAACTTTTTTATCTATTCTCCATTCTTTCAAACAATCAAATACAGTGGCAGCTAATTCAACCCAGTGTGTGGGGAGGCATACGACAAAAGTTGAGTAACTTGCTACATAACTTCAATTTTCATTGACAAAGTGAGCAGTCACACAAATATAGCCCTCAGAAGTAGATGCTGTCCATACATCAGAAGTTAAACAAATTTTATTAGGTACCTTGGCCATAGCTTGTTTAAATTTTTCTTTCTCTCTCAAATGAATTCTCTGAACATCAAGCAGCAGTGTTTCTAGAATGCATGACTACATCTGGATTTACATACTTAGCCCCAGCTCTAATCTTATCATATTCAACAAAAGCATAAGGCAAATCATGCTTAATTATGGCTTTAGCAGCATGTCCGTGAAATTATAGGATCAAATTTTCTAGCCTTTAATTTCCCTTCATAATCCATAAGCCTTTGATGTGGATTAAAATATGAAATGAATTTACATGTTTCAATGTGACGACGCAAATGTGAAGTGCCATAATTAGAGCCACCAGGTTTAGGGCCAACCTTATACTCCGTTTTACAACCATTATAAGTTGCCCTTTCTACCAACTTGCTTTTTGCCTATTTTAGTGAAATAATTCCAAACATTTGAAGTTTCTTTTTTTACCCTCTTACTCAATTGTTCAAACTCGGATACATGGGATTGGGAGGGAATTTCATCTTTATTCAAAATGTTCACATCATCATCCAAATTTGTACAATTTTCAACTGATTGATCCATCATCGTCACCTTCAAATAATATAAACATAATTTATTAAAAATTTACACCAACAAAACAAACAACAATATTTATTGATTATTGCACAAAACTTGAGTTCTACATCAAGCATGATTTCACGCAGCAATAATAACAAAATTCAAACTCTTGCACAAAACATCTAATCAATGAAATAACTGTTAGTCTGTTACAAATGTCGATATATTCTTTACCATAAAACTTTCATATGTCCAGCAAGCCAGCAACACACCACAAAAGTTGAAACAACTAAGAAAAAAAAGAAAAGCAAACCGGAGTTTACCTAGGCTGCCGGAGGAAGCAGATCAAAAAAGGTGGGTCGGGTATGCAGTCGATGGGGATTGGGGAGTGCTTGAGGCCTGGAGTGGTGACCGACTACTATCTGTGACAAACCAAAACGGAGTGAAGGTGCGGGTATCGAGGTGCGGCAGTGCTATCTACTGCAAAACAGAACGGAGAAGGTGCGGTGTGGCGGTGCGATCTGCGGCAAACCAGAACGGAAAAGGTACGGGTGCGGCTGTGAGATCTGCGGCAAAACAGAACGGAAAAGGTACGGGTGCGGCTGTGAGATCTGTGGCAAAACAAAATGGAGAAGGTGCGGATGCAATCTCGCGGTGTGGTGTGTGATCTGCGAGGCTGGGTGGTGTGATCTGCGACAAACCAGAACGAAAAAGGTGTTGGTGCGGCGGTGAGATTTGCGGTAAAACAGAATGGAGAAGGTGCGGGTGCGATCTGCGGGTGTGGTGGTGCGATCTACGATAAACTAGAACGGAGAAGGTACGCTGCGATGGTGTGATCTGCGGCGAAACAGACCGGAGAAGGTGCGGGACCTACGGCTGCGACCAATCGATCTACGATGTCGATGGGTGATGACGACATGGGGAGTGGCTGATCTGCTAATCCGGATGGTCGGATGCCGGATGGGGAGTGAGAAAGAACGTCAGTCCGGCGGTGACTCACCGTGAAAGAACGAAGAAAGCTAGAAAGAAGAAGGGGAGTTGGGGAGTCGGGACTTGGGGAGTTGGGTAACCGGGTAGGACTTAGGAATTAGTTTAATTTTTTTTGACCCGCCGAGCTGGCCCGCACCAACCCGGGTCAAATTTAATATGGGCTTAAATTTTTTAAACCCAGCCCGTCCCATATTTTAAAAAAATGGGCTAGCCCGATAGGCCAGGCCCATTTTGACAGGTCTAGATAGCACTCACAGGCCTTGGAAAAATTTTGAAGAAATCAAAGTCCAAAAGTTTCTCATTTAGTCGAAAGCCAACCATAGATGGAACGGAGGATTAGCACAATTTCAGCTGCTTCTATGGTCTATCAACTTTAAAACCAACCAAATCAGGCACATCCTATTTGCTGTTAACTTTCGTCCATACTGTTTTCACAACAAAACTTGCAAAATACCAGAAATGATAGTTAACAGTCTCTCTAATGCCTATGTATATATCCATCCTCCTTTGAACACCTATTCTGTAAAAAACTTATAGAAAAAATTATGAAAAATAACTTTTCTCGTAAGCTCAATTTAAAAATATTTTTTTTATAATTTGAATTATTTTTAATCAAATTTTAGTATGACTTGATAATAATACCTTTTAAACAATTTCAGACAATTAAAATAGTTTCAGTTTTCTCTATCTTGCCATTCAGACAAAAATTTCAAAATTAAAATTTGATTTTTTTTTGGTTAAATACTGTCTATCTTGCTATCCAAAAAGCAAAGATAATATCAAGTTTTTTCTTATTTTGTTATATTTTTTTTCTTTTGGTTGGTGTATCTTGAGATTTTCAAAGATGATAAATAACGATTTTACTCTTTTATGGTGATTGCAGGTAGCATGAAGAATGGGATAACTGGATGCTTTCTGATGATGTTTTCAAGGTTTCAGGGAGAAGGGACAACTAAAGCATGTTTGATAAGTTTTATGGTGGTTCACGATTTATTGTGTCTAAGATTGTGATGATTGTTAAGCATGTTTGTTGGAAATTTTGAGTTAAAATTATTCAGGAAATATTTTGTAAATGGAGTATATTTTGTTTTTGCATAAGAGAAGTGAGCAAAGCCTTCCTGATAGAGATATATTTTGTCTTGCTTTGAAGATTATGGAGCTTTTAATCTATTTTTTATGAAATGTACAATTTCATGGCTGAACAAAAAAAAATGTGTTTTAGGTTGTTGAGTTTATTGGTTTATTCATATAACCATAAAACCCCAAAATTGAAGAGTTAAAATTGATTAGACTAGATTTTAAGTATTACGAGACTGATTTTTAGGCATTATGTGATTGATTATAAGCATTGCGTGATTGATTTTTAAGCAATGCCTAAGTCACACAATGCTTTACTAACTAGTCACGTAATGCCTACCAACTAATCACGCAATATCTAAAAATAAGTTACGTAATGTTCAAAGTTAGTCACACAATGTACAAAGTAAATCACGCAATGCTTAAAAATTAGTCACGCAATGTCCAAAAATCACCAAAATGATTGAATTTGATCAACAACTTCAAATGATACATCATATTTTATTTTACAACATAATTAACGAATATGTCTACTTGACAAAGAATGTTCAAAATGTTTTAAAAGTTTTTCTTCATATATCAAAAATCAATCCAAAATGTTTAAAAATACTCAAAACGCTTAAAGATTTTCTTCGTATATCAAAAACTACTCCAAAATGTTTAAAATGTTTTAATATTTTTTTTGGTAAAGAATATTCTAGAGATAAACAGTCTAACGAGAAAAACTCAAAAAATATGAGTTGGTTTGAAGTACAGATCTAAACATATTTAACCTGTTAATAAATTTCGGGTTGAGGTACGAAGTCAAATAAATTAGTCGGTTTCGTTAAGAGTAATTTTGTTCAAATTTTAATTCTCTTGACTATGTCAAAAATACCTTATGCATGGAACCTATTTAAAAAAAGAACTCAAAATTATAACCCCACCAACTCAATGGAGAGGAAGTAGTAGTACCCGAAGATAAGTAAATAGAAAAAAAGTTTCTGACAGAAGTGGACAGGAGCTTGTTTTCACGACCAACTGTTGTTATTTTGTCTCATTTTTACCATAATGAACACATGACAAGCAGACCATACCATTGGGAAAAATCCAGATTCACAGTGCTTGTCAGCATATCACTAATCCACGTATGGCTTTCAAATGTACAGTGACAATTAAGGAACCAAACTCGTCTCCTATTCTTAATGGCTTGCAAAGGTGAGTGCAACTTTAAGGAAGAAAATTCTGTCTAAATTTTTCCACCTTCATAAGAAAATGGCGACTAGGAGGGAGTTGGACACTTATTTTGCAGCCAATGATGATTCATTAAGATGGAGATTCCACATTTATGCAAAGAATTGATCTGAAGCTCCACCAATGAGTTAAAATGAAAACGATGGTCATAATGTAGGTAGTCAGCTTCCATTCATCTCAGAATGAAAGCATTAGAAAAAGAGAGACTATGGCTTAGCTAGCTAGGATAAAGATTTAAGAGAGCTCAAACACATGTGGGTTTTATTAAAACAGCTAGCTTTTGCGGATTGTAGACTCATCAACTTCAAATAATATTTCTATAACTCTATTGATTGCTGGCCGAGTAGCTGATTAGTTTTTCATTGC